CACATCTGCAGAACATCACACATCTGCAGGGCATCACACATCTGCAGAACACCACACATCTGCAGGGATCACACATCTGCAGGGCATCAGACATCTGCGGGGCATCACACATCTGCAGGACATCGCACTTCTGCAGGGATCACACATCTGCATAACATCACACATCTGCAGGGATCATGAATTTGCAGGGCATTGTGCATCTGGAGGACATCACATATCTGCAGGGCATCACACATCTGCAAGGATCACACATCTGCAGGGCATCACACATCTGCAAGGATCACACATCTGCAGGGCATCACACATCTGCAGGACATCACACTTCTGCAAGGATCATGAATTTGCAGGGCATTGTGCATCTGGAGGGCATCACATATCTGCAGGGCATCACACATCTGGAGGACATCACACATCTGGAGAATATCACACATCTTCAGGGCATCACACATCTTCAAGACATCACACATCTGGAGGACATTACACATCTGCAGGGCATCACACATCTGCAGGGCATCACACATCTGGAGGTCATCTATAGCACTGACAGGGCTAAGGAAGTATTTGCTATGGAACCCACAGCTCCTTAGAGCTTAGTAGGCATTGTCCAGGCTTGCTGTTGGTATCCTTTTTAGCAGGAATGTTTTACTCTTCACTTTTATTTCTATGCATGTGTGTACCTGCTTGTCTCTATGTGTATCATGTGTATGAAGTGCCTGTGGAAACCAGAGAGGGTATCAGATCCTCTGGGACAGTGGTTCTCAACCCTCCTGATGCTGTGACCCTTTAACACAGTTCCTCATGTTGTGATGACCCCAATCATAAAATTACTTGCTGCGTCATAACTTTAATTTTGCTATGTTATGAATCATAATGTAAATATCAGATATGCAGAATATTTTATTATATGTGACCCCCAAAGGGGTCATCACCCACAGGTTGAGAGCCACTGCCCAAGACTTGAGTTACAGGCAGTTGTGAGCTGCCCAGTGTGGGTGCTGGGAGCTGAACCCAGGTCCCATGCAAGAGTAGCAAATGCTCTTAACTGCAGAGCCATCTCTCTAGCCCTGTTAGCAGGAATGTTGTTTTGAAAATCCAAAGTGAGAACACAAAACTAGCATTTTCACATCTTTAAATACACCCACGGTGGAGTTCTTCAAAATCCCAACTTCATGATGAAATAGTATAGCTGTTCTTCAAAATGTTAAAAACAGACCTACATGATCCAGAAATTCAGCTTCAGTGTACACACTGGAAAGAGCCAAAAGCAGGAACCTAAGAAGATGTTTGTCTGAGCAGCACTACTTAGAACGAGCAACATTTGTGGACACACACCACACACGCACACGGACACACAGACACACAGACACACTAATGTATAAAGTAGGAAGAAAGAGAAGAAGGGGAGGGGAGGGAGTGTTTCAGGAAAACACTTTTCATTACTATACAAACTGAACAATGCTATTTCTGTTTTGTTTTCTGAAAGTTTTGGCTACCCCCAGTTGAAATGGTTTGACTACTGTAAGATCCCATTGTTGAGCGACTGCCTTATAGGATGAGGTATTCAAAAACCTTGTCAGCAAGGTTACAAGGATGTGGTCTTCACCACCACCATGCACTCCATCTGGGGTACCATATACATACCTAGGAGACTTGGGGTCCCCATCTTTGCACAGAAAGGCCTGAGCATCTTCCATGGATCTTCCTTGGTAAGTTAATATGGGGACTGGTGTCTTCAGAACCCCTTGAGAATAAAGACAATGGGTAGCCACATCAGTGCTGGGGCTGTGGTGTGCTTTTGAAAAGTATCTTTGGATAGTACTATAACCATTATGCGTGGTCCCCTTCAATATACTTTGATAGAATTCAGACGAACATAGGTTTACTTTTAGTTCTGACTAAACTACAGAGTTGGCAGGGGACGGAAGGTTGAACTGGACCAGTATAGAACTGGAGATATGTGTTGTGTTAAATGTTCCATAATAAATCTCCATGTCAACAGAGGGTCTGTTCTGGCCCACTGCCAGAACAGCAAGATACTGTGTACTGTTTAGATGCCCAGATGACAGTGGCCCCACACTTGACATGGATGTTTGCATTTAAATTTCATAATTGCTGGGCAGTGGTGGCGCATACCTTTAATCCCAGCACCTGGGAGGCAGAGGCAGACGGATCTCTGAGTTTGAGGCCAGCCTAGTCTACTGATTGAGTTCTAGGACAGCCCAGTCAGGGCTACTCAGAGAAACCCTACCTCAAAAAACCAACCAAAGAAAGACAGAAAGAGAAATAAAGAGAAAGAAAGAAAGAAAGAAAGGAAGGAAGGAAGGAAGGAAGGAAGGAAGGAAGGAAGAAAGAAAGTTAGTTCTACAGAACCCAATAAAGCAGCTGTATCCTTTAGCCAATCTAGCTGAGCTCCCAGGAGAAGAGCATGGCACAGCTCGCTCTCTCTCTCTCTCTCTCTCTCTCTCTCTCTCTCTCTCTCTCTCTC